TATTCAAATCTTGGGATATTTTAAATTGTGAAGATAAAAAAATGAAAAGTCATGTGTGTATTAGTCAAATTAAATCACTCTATAGTGAAGTGTACTATTAATTTATTAGCCTTAATTCTGATAATCTAAAATATTCAAATTTTTGTTATACGGGTATATAATATTAGCGTGTAAAACAGTAATCACATTTCATTATTGATATGAAACACAGTCGCTTGACTGAAACCCTGCATATTTTTCACCTGTATAAATATTTCTATTATACATAGATAGATATTCAATACACAGTGTGACCAATTAACAAGACTTTCATTCTTTCTAGACAAAAAACGGTACTAACTACCCTATGAACAAATGTGTATACAAGTTAACCAGAGAAAAATGGTGGAAATCCATAGATCTTGCTTATTTTTTTCAAAACCTTTATTTTAAAATAAACCATATTTTCACAGAAATACTAAATTTAAGAAAAAAAATTTAAGTCCCTTCTTACTTCCTCACTTCGTTTCACATGTAAGTATACATGAATAAAAATAAAAACCACATGTTCTTTACTAAGCAGTAATCAATACACTTATTAAAAAAAAAACTAAAAACTATCACGATTTTTTAAATCAAGTTTATTATTAATAGAGAGGTTAGGTGTTTTTACTCTTAATCACTTGACTCAAATATTGATGATGAATATAAATCAATAATCATATATTTAATTAGCATGGATATTATCTACACAGTTTGTATCAAATAAGTAAATATTCACTAAATTTTTTCAAGTTGTTATCATATATGAATATATTAATTAAATTGGGATATATAATCTATTTTTGTAAGGTTATAACAACACTTAATAATGAGATATATGTCACATGTATTAATCAATTCAATCATACTAGTGATCATCCATTTAATCGATTTTTTTTTAAACAAAAGCACAGTAACCCTAAAATTGTAAAAATGATAAAGCTAAAGTAGTAAATGTTACTTGAATATATGTAAAATAAATAATACCTATACGACTATATATTCCATTTGTGGTAATTATTGATTATTATGTAAATGGAAATATTTATCGTTACAAGTTGGATTTTTTAAATGGGATTCTAGCATTGTTATCTGTGTGTATAATCAATTACTGATACCAGATGAACAGGCTGAAGAGAATCGACCAAGGAATGATTTGCTTAAGAAAAAGAAACAAATGATGATATTTCACTGGTTGAAATCATGAGTCAATTGAAGCCAGACCACCATGGAAAACCTGGAAACACTAGACGGCCGTTTCGCCCTGGTATGGGAATCCTCAGCAGTGCGCATCCACTATCCCACACCCCGCGGGATTTGAACCCAGGACTTACTAGTTTCGCGCGCGAATCCCGCGGGGTGCGGGATAGTGGATGCGCACTGCTGAGGAGTCCCATACCAGGGCGAAACGGCCGTCTAGTGTTTCCAGGTTTTCCATGGTGGTCTGGCTTCAATTGACTCATGATTTCAACCAGTGAAATTTCTAAAAATCTCCACAAAACACATTCTGAAAATGATGATATCGTTATAAATGCTACTATTTATTTCACTGATCAACCAAATACAACCAAATTAGAAATACGTACACCAATTTTTGGACTCCAATTTTCACAATTCTTTAATAGAAATCAACAAATGAAAACAAAAGACAGATAGCTAGGTTCTGAAAATTTACAAAATGATAAACTGCGTTTTTTTGCGCACCGCTCAAGCTGTCCTTCAACCGGTTTATGATTCTTTGAAAGTCTCTGAAGAAAATTCAACTGTTCATATACATTCAAAACTATTGATCTTACTCGTAAAATGTCACCTGAACATTCAGACTAAAGTTGTTTACAATCTACGACTGAAGTTATAGCAACTCAATATTGATTCTGAACTACCAAATGAATCTCATATCACCATTTATTTTATTGATATTTATCAGTATAGGAATTTGTGGAGATGGTAGTATTTTCACAGTTGAAATCACGAGTCGATCTAAGCTAGACCACCACTGAAAACCTGGAAGCACTTTTATTCCACACGTTTATTGTTTGGTTTTGAACAAAATTTGACAATTATCACGTCATCTGGTGTTATTTTATTCATACACCAACTCACTGACTAGTTAGTCAGCCTAAATTTTTATACAGATTTCTCAAAAAAGTGTTTATTATCTTGATTGAAATAACTACGAGTAAAGATGAACTAAAAACATTAAAGTGTTCGGCTTAAGAAACCACTTTTCCTTAAGTTTCGATTCAATGGAGATATATCTAGCTAACTATCCAGTAGTAACTCAGCCAAAGTTGTTAAAATGACCAACTACCAACCAATCCACGATTATTATTTTCTAATAATAGTTCATTGTGACGCAGAAAGGATAAAATGTTTATGGATATCGACATATTAAGGTATTATTAATAATTTAAACCCACCTAATTCTTACCACCACTTTTTTGCAGCTAGTCAACCACAGTTATTCAGATAATTGTGTTTCTAACCAGATCATCTCAATTACTTTCACTTTTGTTATGAACATAGTTGTAAGTACACATATCTGAGTTCACCATCCCAGACTTTCTTTTAAGTTCAATTGTAGGTAGCAGTCGAATCCAAAACGCGCTTTATGCCCTACCTAAGAACTGCCAGCTGAATATCCCTGTATCCAAGTGTTGATATCCATATTGAAACGCAAGCCCAATAACTATCACCTCAAACGCCAAGTTACCCATTAAGTTACTAGGTCCAATCAGTCACTAACTTTTTCATTGAATATGAATTTAATTTTAATAACACCAACAGGAAATGCAAACCTTAAAAATCCCTCCCACTTAAAAAAGCGACTTATACTCAAACGACCTTATAATTGGATTTACTTTTCTTCATTTTCGACTGCTTCCTTTTTCCTCGTTATATCACAAACACAAACACCTACTTAGTTCCATTCTTAGTAATAAATATATTTTACGATTTCTCAAGTTTTTATATGCTCTACTTTCACTATCATAGTGATGGGTTTATTTTTATGATTAAAATATTGCAACGCTTAAGTCCTTAAACACTTTTATTAACTATTCACGTATTTTGCAACCGTAATTTTAAAATTAAATAAAATTTTCGAAGTACCGTTAACTTATGAGTCTTTTCATAATTTTGAAAACAGCATTTTTAGCAACCTCTGTTTATATATTCCTTTGTGGAGAGTTTCGTCCCATTATAATAACCGAAATCAAAGGGATCACATTTCATATCACCAAGTATGAATGGTTAGAAACAAAACTCAAAGTAGGAAATCGAACTACTTATTAATAAACAGTAGCATGATTGCGCACTTTATTTATAAAAACAGTTACCTGGAATAGGCAAGTCAGTCAGGAGCGTTTCAGATATCAAGGTCATGGCGCCAACTTCAGTGCCTAATGCTAACGTCCGATCGGTTTACAGAGGATTTTATGCAAAACGTGATAATTGGGCGGCTGTATCAAATAAAACGGCGAAATTATAATTTGTGAAGGAAACAATCGGGTATAAGATAAAAGATTTCGGATTTTGGCACGAAAGTTTTTCATCCATTTTTTGCTAAATAGAGTTTTGGCATTATAGCTGATGTCGGTTCGTGATGAAAACTCCGTATATAATTCCTAACTAGAGCAAATTATGACAAATAGTGAGAACTGGATTGTAAAAGCCCCAGCAACACTGGCTGCAGCCAGGTACTACAATATATACGGATGATTGCAGAGCGTACAGGCCCATACATAGGCTTGGTTATGTGCATTGTGTCGTTATCCACAGGTGGCATTTTGTGTACTCAACAACCGGAGTGCACACAAACAATATTGGACCTACGTGGTCGAGGCTGAAAGAGCTTTTGCGACCTTATCATGGTTCCAGTGACCAACTATTCTGTAGCCATATGGATGATTTACTCTATTGCATGCACTACGATTTTAGAACCTCCGAACCTCTTTCTCACCTTGACAAGTTTTTGAACCACGTATCAGAAGTGTATCCATTTTATTTCTTCGGTTTTGTATAATATATTTTTACTCTAAACTCAGTTTACTGGTTGGCTAGATTCGTTCAAAGGTCGTCCATAAATTATAGTCTCGGCCTGAAATACATCAAACCACAGGATCACATGATTTCAAAACTTCTGTGTACATTTAATACACCATTGATTTTTCGTTTTAAAGACAATATATAATGTATTACTACTTATATAGTAAATTACTATTTGAATTCGGAAATATATAAATAACAAATGAAAACTAGCTGATTATTTTGGCAAATAATTCTTTTGTCAAATCTTTTGAAATTCACGTCGATACTATATTTTGGAATGTCCCAGTAAATAAATAAACATGAAAAGTAATAATATGATGACTAAACCAACGATGAAGTTCAAAGTTTTCCGACTTGGTGCTTTTTGTTGTGTAATTGTTATTTTAGTCCTGATCATATTTATATCGGATTCTTATTTCATATAACTTCAAAGTACTGCATGATTGGTGCGCTCATTTTTATAATAACAAAATATCAGTAACTCACAAAATAATAATTTTGGTGACATAATGTTCATTTTGTAAACAGCCATAAAAGTGCTTATATTTCAGAATTTACAAGTTTTCCTACGATAACCGAATCTAAGGGTATTGAGTACATTTCATGCATACCACTTGGTGACATTTTCTGGTTAAGTAGTCTTATAACCTTTTTTAAACTTTATTAATTAAAATGCACCCTGTCGGGTAAAGAAATAAATCAATACTTAATTGTGAGAGCCTGAATTATGCTTCATTTAAACTATCAGTTAAGATCAATTACTTCATTAAGTAATAATTATTGCTTTATAGTAAGTAACGAATAGTTATACTTTGAGAATTTTCGAAATATGGTACTTTCTTTGTAAATTTTATTGATATTTATTGTACCTTAATTTATATATATCATTTATATCAAACGACAAATGAAAATATTTTCGCCTTCATAAGTGATGAAATGTCAGTATTAAATGAATTACAGAATGATGATGATTTCGGAAACACTGTTGAATTTTCATCGTGCAAGCAAAAATACTCATCTACTCTGCTATCAAGATCAAAAGTATCATCAGAAATAAATGAATCATTATCATCATCACAAATGATCATAAGAAGATCTATCAAAAGAAATGTTAAAAAGTATAATCAATTAAGTGGTAACACACTATCTAACTTAGATTGGACTCAAAGTCCAAGTTCTTACAGTAGAGAATTCTGCCACTTATTCACGTACACAATAACATCTAAAGATGACGTGAAAACGGAAATAGATTACGTCAGAAACTTGATAAATTTACAATCTATTAATCCTGTCACAAACATATCTAAGTCGAATACTTTACTTCCACGTTTAATCAATTACGCTATTAATGGACAATTACGTGTATGTCATTTTCGAAGCATTTGTTGGCGTATATTTCTTGACATTCTACCCAATGATGTAAGTCAATGGTCGAAACAATTAAAAAAAGACAGAGAATATTTTGCCATGTTAAATTGTCGAATTAATATTAATCCATATATTAATCAAATAAAATCAGATGATCATCCATTATCTTATAGTAGAACGAGTTTGTGGAACAAATATTTCTACTCATTAAAAGTAAAACGCATAATAGCAAAAGATGTTAATAGAACATTTCCAAAAGTGGAATATTTTCATAACCAAAATATACATAACATTATGATTGATTTATTATATATTTATACAGAACATGAGAATATTTCCTATCAACAAGGTATGCATGAAATATTAGCACCTTTATTATTCGTTTTGCATTGTGATCTAACTGCATTTGAACATGTTGTAGAAATGAAAATTATATCATCTGATTTATGGAATGATTTAAATTATATTATGAATAAGGAATACTTTCAAGCTGATGTTTATATGATGTTTGCAAAAATTATGAACTCCGTCAAAAATTGGTATCCTCAAACAAAACTAACAACTCATGAAAAAAGAATAAGAAGACGTACAGTTATAGGATTACCAACAACAATATTAGTTTTAAAATCAGAAGCAAATGCAAACTCCAATGACCCAGAACAAACTCCCATGGTTACCAATAAAACACAAGACAGTATTGATGATAATAATAATCTTAAATATTTTAAAATTTACTACGAGAGCGATAATGACGAATTAGACGGAGAGGATCATGAAGAAACTAAAAATGACAGTGAGGGGGATGAAATCATCGAAAAATATGAAAGACAGAATAAAGATCAATTAAAACAACCTGACGGCGGAGATCAACACACGTTTCACTTTGATCAGGAAGAACATTCTAAACATAACTGTTCAGGAGATTGTTTTGTAGAACAAATACACAAACAATTATTATTGAGACACAACCCATTATTATATAACCATTTGAAAAAATTAGAGATATCACCAAAATTATTTGGTTTAAAATGGATACGTTTACTATTTGGTCATGAATTCCCCTTACAAGATTTATTATATATATGGGATTGTATATTTGCCGTAAACAATAATTTAGCATTTGTTCCTTACATGTATTTAAGTATGCTGTTACGTTTAGGACCAACATTAATAAAATATGAGTTTGCAGAATGTTTAACATTATTGATGAATTATCCAGCTGGCATGGATGTAACGTATTTAGTCTACATGGCGTTACACTTGTATAAACCACATTCATATAACAAACCATCAAATGTATACGACTATCATTCCATCTTCCATAGCATTACTATCGGTGACGACGACAATAATAATAATGTTACAAACAGCAAAATCAATGACATACACGATAATACCAGTTGTAGTAGTAAAGATAACCGTAATTATGATGCAAAGACTACGAATTATGGCAAAAACGATAGTGATGCTGAGAATATTGACAAAATCAACATCAGTGCGAACAGCTACAGTGACAGCAGTAATAACATCAAAAATAACCCAATACCATCTCTTCCATCATTAAGTAATAAAATAAAGTCTAAACTGAAGAATACACCTTTTAGTAATCTTGTAAACAATTATCGAAAAAAATCCAACATAAATAATCCTATTACTAACACGGATATTATAAAACGAAGCAAAACATTTAAAAACAGTAAGCAAGTAATGGGTATACCAAGAGGTAGATCATTAGCCGATTTAGCAAGTTTAAAAAAATCAATATACATCAAGTCAAATGAAGAAAATATTCGACTTTCAGATATAATGATATCAACTGAAAGCACAAACAATAATAATTGAATAGTTCAATCAAGATTTAGCTCAATGTATTTAAATGTTGAAGGTATTGAAGATTATGATGAGGCTGGTGGTGATAAGGCTGACATCTTAGCAAAATTAAAAGCTGATAGTAATCACCCTACAAGTTATACACAAATATACCTATCCATAACAAAACTAAGATGTTAATACCAAAAGTTATGTGAACAAAATGGCTATAACAAACATTTTATAATTTGAACAATGAATCGATTGAGTTTACTGATTTAAAACCAAGTTGTACAATAAATTCAATGTATAATGAAGCAATAGGAAAGAAGGCTTGAATATTTATCTAACCTGGACTGTTTATCCAAACAACCACATTTGATCTTATTTATTTTCCACACAACCTATGCACACAGAACTTCAACCTCACTGCTTCATATTACAGATGCATACATCTTTCATATCCACATTCTGACGCACAAATGGTGACAGGTCATACAAACTCAACCAAAAATAACTTGAAATTGACATATTCAGACCTGCTATGATTTTGATTGTACAAAAAATATTTTGCATTGTTTCCTTAGTACTATTCCAACATGTGATGATTGAATCCGGTTATTTATTTACTCTGAAGAAGTGACTTACATTAAGTCACGAAACGTAAGAAATACAAATCCCTACCTATTGAGAATATAACAAAAAATATATTTGTTATTAGCTTTCCATCCAATGTTCAATTTATTTGAAACTATCAAGTCCGACCTTGGCATCGATACCTACAAAATCACATAGTTATTCAATACTACAACCATCAACCAATTAACATTCTTTAAGCATCGACATGACGATATTGAAGAATTATGTGGATAACAATACTGATAACAGCATAAAGTCATCATTAATTATGAGGATAAATAATGCAATCTAATCTGATGGCTAATTCTTATATTTTTTTAATGAATTTACTTTTATTTATTCTACTAGCTACAAATGTTAACGAAAAGGACTTCTCTTTTTTGAGAACTCCATATAAAAAAATCTGATTTATATATTCAATGCTTATTACTTATCAATACAGTAATACTACCAATAATGATAACAATTATCATGATGACGAGATATTTTGATTTGACCTTTACTGCAATACCAAACTTCTAAGTTAAAACGATGTAACCTATTTCTTATCTTCCACATAACATACTAAGTTTTCCATTATATTATTCAATAATACCATTACGAATATTAACAATTTAATATTCAATGCATTTGTATGACCATTTCTTATGTTTCTACAAGTTATTTCACATATATACAAAATGAATCTAAAATGATGCTCGATAATTTAATCAGATCTCATAATCGTATGGATACGCCTTCTGAAACGAAGGATTACGAACTTAGTTATAATAAACAATTCAAGTGCTCAGAATTTAATGATCTCACTGAATTTGACAAATTCTCTCATACATAAAAAATATACATTGAAATCATAATGAACCGTCTTGAGAACAAACAATATTATCATTAGGAATTCAAATACATGGAGCACGAATGGTGAATTAGTCAAAATGCTGAATCAAAATACTATGCAAGTAAGGAATTTCAAATGAACAGATCCTACTCTGTTTTGTACATAACTAGCTGTTTATTCCCACGTAAACATTTTTGTAAGTAAACGCCATTATAGAAATATTTACTTGTTTTTCCTAGATTTATTTCATATATGCAGACTATTATTTTGATAAATGAACAAACTGCCTATAAACGGTATATGGTCTTGTATTCATTATTACCATATGTAGACTACCTTTTTTCAATTTAAAAACATTGTAAGTAAAGAGCCATTACTTTACTAATTTCACTTAAGGATAGAAGTATAAACTTATTGTAAATATGAAGTGTATAAATCATTTAACATAGAAAGAGTATTTTTATCATCCCTTTCACAAATATTTTTCGAGGCTTAAGGTGATTATTCGTGATAAATCTTCTATTCGTACTCTAGATTCGGTTTCCTAAGCTCTTCTAATAACCCCCAGGCTAATCTACACGGAAACTTGAACACGAGAGAAAAGGTGCGAAATATGGAAGAAACGCTTTACTCCAATGTTCGTTCATGTATGGAAAATCTACAGTACTTATGGCATTTTGGATGGCGTTGGGATTCCGGAAAATTCTGGAACGCTACTAAACGCGACATGTGACTTTTCACCCTCTAGATGTTTCTGGAAAAACCCCTGTTGGATGCTGATCGGATAAGATGTTTCTCAGAGTTTTCAGAGCCCTTTTTGTTTTCCGAGGAAATTTATGGATCTCCCTAGTGGATGTCAGCCAATGATTAAAAGATTGACGTCAAGTATCTTTTTGTTAGAAATCGCAAACAAAATAAAATATCGGGATTCGGTTGAGGAGTTCAATACTACGAAAAAACAGCTATCTATTGGTCCCCGAGTTTCAATGGTTGCTTAAATAAGACCAATATGTGGCGTTAGCTATAAAATTTAATTATCCTGTTCTTTATATTCACCAAGTTAACAATTGTCGCTCATTCATAAACTAACTTGATCTCCTCATTCTTTCACAAACTGCTAGATCATTACATTATGGCAGCGGGAGCTACTGCAGTACTTGATACCGGTAACCACTGTAATCTCTATGAAGCGAAATACGTACACGGAAACTGACTAAAGAACACCTATTTCCCCATCAAAACACCGTGTATTTAACAAAAATAGACTTTTTCATAATGATTGTTACACACGCTTCACGACACACTAATAAATATCACATTTAGAGAAAATACAAAGAATTATTGAAAAACATATGATCCATATCTTACTGAATGAAGCTTACACTAAATTAATACAAAGAATATTATACTGAGTAAACTCCATACTTAAATAAAATAAATGTTATCATAAACAGAATATTGCACTGAAAAAAAGAATATTACTCTGAGTAATTATTATACTGAATTAAAAAGGGGGTAATCTTGAATAAAATTTACACTGATATCACATCCCGTCTTAACACAACACGTACCAACCCTTCGATATTTGATTTTTCTGAACACTTCATGAAGTAATATCACTCTAGTTTTTATAACTATAAAAAATTATAAGCGGAGATGGATGATGTCTAGAAGTGGAATCCATGATGCACGCTTCATCCTATTTAGAACTCCTGAGCTAAATGTACTTACATCCCAGAGTTCATGTTCACTCCAGGACTGATCAATTACAATCGTAAACATCAACGGGGAGATTCAGACAACCAATGCAAAAATGAATTACAAAAATTAGTTTCAAATTTTAACCACATTCCTTACCTCAGCTTATCGCCATAATGTTTATTTAATTTTGAATAAATTGAGACTCCACTTAATCATAAACTCCCAATTATACCCCTGACTTTGAAATACTAATTTAAACTCCGTCATAACAAAAAATGTTAAGATAGGTGAAACATACATAATTTAAAATCAATGTTAACTTTTAATTCTCAAGGACCATGAAATTCCAACGCTACGGAGAAAATAGTTAAGACCTGAAAAGAAATAAAAATCAAATGGAACTACTACTGTGCTCGATCATATATACATTTTTATCATGAACCTGAAGCAGCCAAATTGAATATTCCCATATTTTTGACTCTAATTTCTTTCTACTTAAAGAAGCAATCTGTTTAAAATGTTTCTAAGGAAACTGGATATGACAACAAACAATCCCAAGAGAGAAAATCACATGTTTGCAAGCATAAACTTACGAAAAACCACACTTAATACACAGGTACTTCTTAATATACTGGTATCTGAATGATTTCTATCTGAAGTTTGTGCTGGTTATGTTGTTCAGAAGAACGATGGAAGCTCCATGACCAAACCATATGTCTCAGAGAACAAAACTCCATCAGAATGATTTCAAATCTTCCCGTCTCAATCAGATATACTACTACGAAAATGTACCTAAATGTGTTACTGACAGAATGTTTAAATAATATGATAAGTTAGCCTGTATTACAACTTGAAATCTACTGTGAGCTCTGTCGTCATCCCACCTTGCTGTGATTCCTACCGAAATAAATGAACACCAAGTGGCTGTAAACTACATCTAATTTCTAAAATACCAAATACAAACATACACCACAAGATTTTTCAGAAGCGAAATTGAATTCATTTTAAATCGTTTGATATACAGACTAATGCAAAACTTAAATTGGTTTCTTGTGACTAGAATTAGCGTTTTAACTAAAGATAAGTGGGTTACAACCATAAGTGTGAAATGTTTGATATACTCATTGCTGAAAACAAGAAGTTAGAAGATTCAGGGTAACGTGGATTGTACACTTACAAATAAACATATAGTAAAAAAGTTCCATTCTTTGGACCAATTTTTGGTATCAAATGTAATTAATAAAAAAACTGTTTACCACAAAGTATAAAAGTGGCTACGTCGAAGTCTAATGTAGATGATAGTTAATCATTCTGCTGTGAGGCAAAGGTTTATGAATATTAATATATTCTGTGATGTTACGTCGAGTTGTAACGTGAAAAGATGTCTTCCGTACGATATCCCAGATATAAATATTTTCATCTGTATATCAGCACGTCAACCGTAATAAATAATGCATTGGTCAAATCTCAACGTAATATAATATTCATTTACCTACTGACATTAAATCTCAACAATAAAAAGGTTTAGTGTCAGTATCTTCTGATAGTGAGACGTACACGGAATGCATCAGATACACATTGAACCATATAGTTATATATAAAGCTCAAATAAATCTGTACCCAAAATCATTTGTAAATCAATACTTCATAAGGCTAGAAATAAAAAACCCTAGTCAACTTATATTTTAGAAGGCTAACTTATGAAATATGACTTGTTTTCACACAAGATAACGAGAAGCTAAATAAGAATTTCGATTGGGAGTGATGTATTTCAGGCTTGGCTTACCAGCCCTACATGTATATATGCTAGTCAGCTTCTCAAATTTGTTGGAAAGTCTCATGTTTTCAAAAATACAGGGTACATTAAGGAGAAATAGACAAAATGCATATTAATCCAGTAGTAATAACTAATGTCATGCTGTCAAGTATTCAATGCTAAATGAATTGTATCAATCAAAACACAGTGAGGTGATGAAGGAAATCCATCTGCTCAGAATTGTAAGTATACCTTGGTGACGAACGCCAGTGAACTCGTAACATAGATTTAGGGATTACGTCGATTGCCGCTAACTAACACCAAAATTATTTTGTCAGAGCCATAAGGTATTTTAGCCCGATACATTTTGGGCGATCTGGTTATATACATAAATCTACACATCAACTCTTTACACTATATAGTTTCATCAAAAAGCGTTCTAGAAAAACAACATTAGAAATAACTGAACTGAAGGTAACAAACAGTACGGCAAGTTTAGGCCTTCGTCTAATACAATAAAATCTTAATCTATCCTTCAGTACACAGAGATCACCATTGTAAGCTTAAATGGTAAGATCTAACATATCTAACTCGTGAGATTTTTGTGGATTAACATCTAGTAACAAAAAATTTGACTTTCTAAATGTCGCAATCGGTTAGATTATGGAAACATTTGATGGTAAATTGTGATATCTAAGCTTTAAAAATATGTTGATATTCATGTCATTCCATAAAAACTTCATACCTGTGAGTATACTCGAAATTCACAGATGAAACTTAACAACTTATAATAACTATTAAAGTATATCTATTTTATTCATAATCCAGAAATATATTTACATGTTAAGTGACTGGGATTCTCTGATAAATACTGAACCAACTTACAAAAACACAAAGCACAAAGATAAACAGGTCAATTTAGACTTAACGAACAAGAGTCATCCTCACTAACATATATCAACCTCTTACCCGTGGGAACTGTTTCAGCATTAACTGTTAGTTGTATACACGATCGGAATTCCTAATGCTCAACATCAAATTATGGTAATAATTTTATTTACGGCTGTTTGGTTTATATATGAATTGTACTCCCTTGTCAAACAAAATATCATCGTTAATCCTATCAACAACTACGCAGCTTATAAACACATGAACAGCCGAAACACCTTTCACCATAAACCACTCAATAGTTTATTTTTATTATTATTATTATTATTATTATTATTATTATTATTATTATTATTATTATTATTATTATTATTATGGACAAATCTCTACACGAAATATTTCCTAATTCAACATTCAGCTTCATTTCACTTAACAAAACAAAGATTGAATCTAAAAAACAACTTTTATTCAATCATAAATCCTACTCACTTTAAAGTAACAAAGACAATCAAGACAAAATGAGTTTAAACGAATTTCAGCGGTACCAAGTAAACAATATAGTACAGATCACATTATGTTACTGAAAACTTATAAACTATTTTACAAAAGAGCAGATGAAATTTAACAACTCACTGATTTATTTTGTGGTATTTTTTGTACTACTGATAACTATAATAATACTATTTCCAATAATAAAATGACAAAAAGAACAAAATGAAATCACAAGTCACCTATACAAAATAAGTTTTAGAAAAAATACTGAGAAAAATAGTGTTTAAGAATAATAATAATTGTCATAGTTGTGGCGAGTAAGTCATCACCGGATGAAAGAGACAAGTTCCACCCTGTATCATATGTTCCATTTACAAGTTATCCGTACCAACACACTGCAAACAGAAAAAGAAAAAAGTAAGAATTACTATTATTGAAAGAAAATATTCTCAAAGTATGTAGAAATGAAATACATGTTCCCCTTGGTACATATGCGAACTAAGCTACTACAGCTATTATCGATGAATGACCATCAAATTCCTCTGTTAATGAACGTGATGTTTTATGCTTCTCGACCGTCAATTTACTGCACGGACTAGTGGTGAATTGAATTTTGTTAGTGCCTATGTA